TTTCAGTAGATGTTTATCAAACACTTGCTTATGTGACTCAGCTGAGCTACACAGGACAAAGTGATGAAAATGACACATAAAATTCCTGCTCCTGTGGCACTTAACTTGTAGTAAGGTAAGCAGACAATAAATAAGTAAGCAAATAAAAATTTCAGAGAGTGGTTACATGCTGTGAAGAAATGAACTGGTGTGCTCAGAGTGAGATGGCAGTTCAGTTGGTTGGGCAGGGGTACATCTCAGTATTTGAACTGAGACCCATCTAATAATGAAGGAGCCATTTATTCTTCACAGCATCTCCTTGATTTCCCCAATTTTCAGGTGAGAAAACTGAGGCACAGGGTAATTGAGTGTGTGCTGGGGAGTGGGTAGAGCTGGGCTGTACAAACACAGTTATTCTGCATCCAGAGTGTATCCTGCCCTTCCCAAAAGGTGAGAGACTGCAGGGGAGCAACTGTAGGAGCTTCAATATCTGCAGTTGGTTTTAGAGTGAAGGGAATGAATGTTTTGCAATGCAGATAAAAACCTTGATGCAGTTCAGAAAAATTGCATGTAATTTCATGGACACACACCCTGCTCCTGCACCTAGTAATCGGATGCAAAATTGAGTATGACTCGTGTGTGTGTGTGTGTGTGCGTGCGTGCGTGTGTGTGTGTGTGTGTACAGTTTATTCTGGGGTCCAAAAGCTATCTTCAAAATTCCCAAAAGTATTGATGATCGAAAGAGCTTATGGTACTGTTTTATTTTAAGGTTTTCTCATACTTGTGTTTTTTGAAAATAGGGCCTAGCTGCTAGAGCAGAGTTTTAATACATGGCATTGCAGTGGCCATTAGTGGTGCTCAGTATGGACGGGAACTGGGCTGGAACTGTCAGACGTCTTACTTTGTCAGGCTTGTAATACTATGATGCCAGCCATCATGTATGGAGTACTATTTTTTATTTAATTATCTATTTATCTTTACATGTGTTATATGTACCCTTTGTCCTTATGCTGTAGGACTGCACATGTATGAAATAAGTAACTGTTTTTAAAGAGAAACAAAACAAAAAACAAAGCCCAAACCTTTGGGGCCTCAAGTTTCAACCTGTAGGGAATGTATTTTCACTAAAGATGCACAGACATGAGCATTTCCTATCATGGTCTTAAAAAGCCTGAATACTTGTTAAACAGGCTCTTCAATACTGAAACCAAGAGAAATTGTTTCAGTAATAGTAATTGACACCAAGAGGGTGTCATATTCTGATCATATCTGGTCTTTCAGTTTTATAGGATGTGGTTTAGAAGAAATACCTGTTTTAGCTGGAAGATCGATCATTTTATTGCAGAGAGAGACTTCCGGGAACTCTTGCTGTATGACCTTCCATGTGGTGTCTGAGTGCTGAGAGGAGGTTTCTCCTTGGAAGCATGAAGATGACAGAAAATGTACACACAATCAAATAAAGCAGCTGTAAGTGCTCTGTAACATATCTGCTTGAAGGGAGCCTAGGCTGTAAAAATTGCAGTTGGAAAGGTTCTTTTTCCTCATTAGTCATATCAGCTTTTAAATAACATCCTAATGGTCCAAGCAGTTATAATGGAATTGGTCCTGGTGTTTAGCTAAGGGTTCTTTTGATGTTTTGGATTGAAATTGTGGCATAGTAAGTTGGTTCTGACCATGAATGAAAACTCCTAGGTGTAAGATCTTCTCTGTCCTTTCTTGATGAGTAGAAGAGATCAGAGCAATGTAGCCATGTGTTGGTAGGCACTCTTCTTTGCTGTGATAGAAAAACTGATGTCTGGCTTTGGCAAAAGGAGAATTTATTGTTTCACATAACTGAAGTGCAGGCCTTGATCAGACTTCAGGTGTAGTTGGATTCTGGGTGCAAATAATGCCTTCAAAATTAACTTTTTCTTTGTCTCTTGACAGTGACTTTTATTCTTGGGTCCTACGTGCATTTGAGTTGAGACCTGTATGATTAGAAGGGACCATTAATCTTCACAGTGACCCTTTGATCTAGACATTATTATTGACTATTATTTTCCTCAGTGGTTCTTTCTAGTAGGGTGACTTTAGTAGCCTCCTATGCTTTCAGTGGTAAGATTCACTGTGTCTGACTTAGGTCACCTGCATATCAGTGACCCAGTCATTGGAGCTAGGGGCATGTGAGGCATTGGTGGGCGTGAGTCACATAGTCCATCATGAGCTCCACACCAACCACATGGCCAAGTTGGGGAGAAAGATCTTCTAGTGAAAAACTGGGTAATCACTTGATGAAGAGCCTGAATGCTGAGAAAGCAGAAAAGATTGTGCTGTGTGCAGTAACATCTTTTGATCCAATCTGAGGCTAGAAAGCCCATATAATAAGTCTATGAGCTAAATCCAGTCTATTAACCACATCCAGGTATCCCGCAGTTCTGTTTTAAATAAGTGTCTTGCTCCCTAGGAATGTGATTCCTCAGGTTTTGACTAGTCCATAGGCCAGACCCTTCTATCCCTGATGCTAAATCCATGGTAAGGGGACTGTTACTCATTAGACTTTAATGTGGGCATTATCTTTTTAATTTTTTTCCAGGGATTGCAGGCAGGGTGATATTCTTTTGAAAGAATAAATTGGGGAAATTTAGATATAATTTAAAGATGTCCTTCTGATCAATCTCTTTATGTGCCTCCCTCCCCCCCTTCCCCCCCCAAGTCCCACCCCTGTCACTTAACAACACTGTCTTATAATCCTTGGAGCCAGAGTCACTGAATTTGCCAGCTTTTCTGACGGGTGATGCACAGTGAAGCAGGTGGTGGCTTTCTTTACTTGTTTTCCATCCTCCTTTGGCAGTTTGATATTTGTCATTAAATATAATGTCTTAATGTGCTTTTGGTAAGGATTTTTTTTAAAGCAATTGAATTAGCTGGCAAGTATTACAAGATGGTGTTGGGAGAAATGCACACTCCCAGTACACTGCTGTTATATAAATAGACACTACTTTCTTGGAATTCAGATTGGATTATGTATGTAATTTTTTTGTATATCCTTTGATCTGTTGGTTCTGCTTCTAGGAATTTAATCTCAGGAAATAATTAGAAATGTGCACATTCTGTTGATTATCCCACTATGGTTATAATAGTGCACTATTGGAAACAAGCTAAATGTCCAACATTAAGATTAAATTGATGTATTATGGTACCACCAGCTAATGGAAGACTTACCTAAGTGTTAAATATGTTTTCACAGAGTCTCAACCTTTTTGCACCCCCTCTGCAATGCAGCACCAAATTTCTGACAAATTGAATAATAGGCTATAAATAGTCTATGGGTTATGCGAAGAGCTGGTGGGTAGTGCTGAGACCAGTGCTACCACTGAATTGCTGCTTTTTAAGGGCATTTTCTAAAGGAGAGGATTTATATGAAAAAGTGTTCAATGAAAAATCTGCAGAAGTCCAGTTTTGTTTAAAAGTTCTATGTGCATAATGCATATGTGCATGTATTTATGTGTTTCATGCATATGTGTTTATATGAAGACTAAAAGGATATATACCCCAACATATTTAATTGTAGATGATGGGATACTAGGGGCCTTTCTTTCCTTTGTGCTTCTCTGTATCTTCTATACTTTACAGAAAAGCTATGTAATACATTTGAATTTAGCAGCAGGAAAGAAAGCCTTAGTGGCCTCACTTCTCTGACCAGTTTAACTGATGTGGTTGAAAACAGATATCTTCTCTTGTGCAGGTCTTCTTTCCTTTCCCTCTTCCTCTTCCCATCTACTCCGTGTTAGCAGTCAGCTTCCATTATGGGCCTCTAGGAAAACACTGATAAATGTGGTCTTAATGGATTTGGGTTTGTTTGTGTGTGTGTGTGTGTGTGTTTTTTTTTAAGAATTAGCAAACATTTAAGGGACTGGCTAGTTACCACGTGATGAACGTGAGGTCTATTTAGAAGAAATGTGGTTCTAGAAACCATATCTCTACATTTAGGGTAGGTGCCCCTCTAAGACATTTGGATGCCGTCATTCATCATCTTTCTGTTGGGTTCCTTCCTCATCTTTTGACTCATTTCATAATTTCCTCTCTTGCCTTTCTTGTACTTAGATGCAAAAACCAAATCTCATCTTCAGGTAACTTTTTCAATCAGTTGCTGACTGGTGAATTCCTCAGAAGGTGACTGAAAAGTGAACAGTTGATGGGGTAATTGGGTGTTTCAAGACTAATCATCTACCATCAGGTAAACCTCCAGGGTGGCTGGTATCCATATGCTAACTAGAAGCAGGGAATTAGTGCCTAATCAGTGGTTTACCTTCAGAGGGGCCTAATGCGGCTGTACTCCAAGGAAGAAAATAAGCTCCAAGCATAAAACCAGAGATGAGGAGTGTAGCAGGTATTACATTTTTATTACAATACCATAGAGGACAAATCAAGGCAGCCCTGTGGTTTTAAATAGGCAAAGTGGCTGAAAGCTGGTATAGAAATAAGAGTGACCAACTTACAAATCTGGTACCCTTTAAGGGTGCCCACTTTGCATGTAAGTGGTAGTCTGACCTGTCCAAATCAATAGTGACAGCAAAAAATACTCCCAAGTGTGGGTCAGTAAAATGATACAGCCCTTTTCAGTTATTTTGGGTCATGTGGGATTAAACATGTAGCTCAGCTCTGGAGCCCAGAGACCAAAAATACTTCATTTGGTATTTGGGAATTTCATAGTACATGCATGTATTGGCTTGGTTGTATCTGGCAAGTATTATTTGTTGTAGCCCAACTGGCTTCAAGCTCAGGTCTCAACTGCATGTAAGTGTAATTCTTCCCAGTATATATTAGGTGTGCAAGGTAAGGAACACCTTTAAAAAGAAACCCTTTAAAAAGTAAGAACCTGTTAAAAAGAAAAGAAAAATTAGTTTTTGGAAAGCTGGTTGGTCTTGGTCATGTGGCCCAAGATTATTTTAAAGCAATATAACCAGTTGGTTTATTTTATTTAAAAATTATTTTTCTCTCCCCCCCCAACCCTCCTTCCTTCATCCCTCTTTCTTTTCTTTTGTACTTTTGAGATTGGTACTATAGAAAGTCATGAGTTCCCCACCCTGCCCTAACTGGAACTGCCGTCTTAGGTTGGTGCTGCAGGACATTTTAGGACAAAAAGTCTTTTTAAGGCATGAAAATAGCAGCAGACGGGTCTTGTTTGCTTTGGCAGAGGGAGCAGTTTTCCCTCCCAAGTAGCTCTGGGTAAGACCTAATCTCTAAAGGTAATCATGTAAGTCCCAAGTTCCAAGTGACAGCAAGTGACTGCAGTTAAAATACTCCCTCAGTCTTTTCTCCCTGTTATTTTTGTAAGTTTACTTTCTAGGAGGTAGTTTACAAATGGACACACTTCCTGTATTTTTTCTCAGGTTGTGGAACACCTGCAGCTGCCAGATGGGATCAAGGGGCTCTTGTGGTCCTACTTTGAGACTCCCCAGCCGGGTGGCTTCTGCCAGAACAGCCACTTCAGCCCCTGGCAGCTGGGGAAAAACTGTCTGAGGAATTCATGTACTCATATTCTCTGGCCTTTGGGTGTCTGGCAGAGAGAGTAAGGAATAAAAACATGTACCTAACTGTCTTTATGCTGTTTAGATGAAAGTTGAAAAGATGGGTTTCTTACTGCTAATATGTAGAAACACCAGCTTTAGTCAGTGGCATCTTGTTTCTGAACAGACTATAGATGGGAACAGAATGGGACTGGTGGATTGGATCACTTTCCCCTCTCTCCAAGTAGATCTCAAGTGCCGTGGTGACGTTGGTTTTCAGTGCCAGTACTTGCCTCCTGTTTTTTAGCTTCTCATTTCACAAGGTTGTTTCTTGGGTGACAGGTTCCCCATCAGCAGCCAATGGAGCATTCCTCTGAGCCACTTTGCTGCCCCAGTGAGCTGCCGCAGTAAGCCAACTTGCTCTTGTCTGTTTTTCGTATGTCAGGGCCTATTGCTGACCCTGCAGAGATCAAACTAAGATGACTACGGAGAGAGAAGCTGCAAAAACAATGTATGTAATCTTTCACCTCTGGTTCGGATTGGGATGCCTGCTTCCTCTCTCCTTTTGGACTTATTTTCCTTTGGCTCTGGTAGGTTTGGGCAAGAAGTGTCAGAGCCACTCACTAAGGAGGCAAAGTGCCTGTCCTCTGAAGTCTTGCAAATTTAAAACTTCAGCCTTTTTGGATGCCAAAAAGTAAAGGTGGTCCTAGAATATTAGACTTGGAAGGTCTAGTGCAGACTCCTTACTTTGTGTTGGGATTACAGAAACTCAGAGAGGTTAAGTGACATTTTCAAGGGCACACAATGCTTGGGGAGATCCCAGACCAGAACCAATCACTTCCTGTTGACTCAGCACCTTGGGAATACATGGAGTTGGCCATAATGCATCTTTTCTTCTTGGGTTGTCATCGTCTCCTTAGGGGAAGCGTATATGCTGGTGTGCATCTTAGCAGAGAACTGTAGTGAAGCCAGTGGTGTAGAACCAGAGAGTTTAGAACCACACTGCCTGGGTTTGAATCCCCTTTCTTTTATAGACTGGCAGTATGACCTCAAGCCAAATCCTTTAAATTCTATTCATTTCCCCCTCTGTAAAATGAAGATTATATTATCTTTCTCATAGGGTTGTAGTGGGTTAAATGAGATAATTCATGTCACTCTCAGTACATAAATGTCATTTAAGAGATACTACTATTAATAAGTGTTTCAAATCACTCTCAACATGGACCAACCAGATTTCCCTTTGCCTTCTTGCTTCCCATTTCATGCTTCTAGTCTTCTAAGAACCAGAACAAGACCCACCTTCTCTGAAACCTTCCCATGAGGTGGACTTCGGAGTCTGACAGACTGGTTTTATTTCCTAGCCTCACTGCTTAATAGTTAAGAAACTTCAGTTTCCAAATCTGTAAAACCTCTGACAAGAACCTAGATTACTATGAGGTTTGATGGTGAAGATGCATATGGAGCACAGTGCCCCATGTTCCATGACTGTGAGTTCCCTTCATTAGTCCCTCCACTTTTCTTTCCATTACACGAATTCATGCTCCTCTCTCCATTTGCATGACATCTCTGTGTGGTTTAGCATTCCATGGCCCTCTGTTCCAGGAGAGGCGGTTCTGTCTCAGCAGTATGTAGTAAGCCCTAAAAAACAGGGACTTGCCTGATTGTGGCTTCACAGAACTGCCTGAGAGGTAGACACAGCTTCCGCATCCTTCTTTGGAGCCACAGTGTCCACAGGGACCACGGCCTCTGGGATTGCCCTTGGCCCAGCAGTGCCAGCTCCAGGCCTGGAGCCAGGCAGGCAGCCAAGCCCATCCCCAGAAACAGCAGCCTGGTTGGCACAGGGGAGGAGGGAGGCTGGAGGCTGATGTGCGTGCAGGGAGGGAGGCAGAAGCAGTTGGAGCTGAGATTGAAAGAGGAAAGCTGGAGGCTAATCTCGGTCCAGCGTAAACTGAGCAGAGCTACTGTCTTTGATCTTTCAGGTAAACCCCAAAGCTGTAACTGTGTCTAGAAGTAGTAGTGCCTGGGTTTGTGTTTGTTTGTTTGTTTGTTTGTTTGTTTGCTTTTTCTTTATTATTCTTTGTTCCCTATTTCCCTGCCCTTCCTTGTCCCTGGCTCCATTCAGCTCACCACTTAGCAGAAGCAGGAGAGCAGAGTCCCTGTGAGAACAGGAGACAGGCTGTGGGCATCTGGGGAGTCCAGCATACCTGAGCTGCCCCAGGGCAGTTGGACTGGCTCCTGAAAAGAGCACTGTTGTAGAAGGAGCTTGACTCTCTCACCAGCTTTGTGATAAAACAACCACAATAAAGGCTAATGCTTACTGAATGAATAGTTTGTGTGAGCCGAGTATCAGCAGAGCATTTTAACATGGATTATCTCATTTACTCTACCCACACATCTGTGAGGTGCAGTCCCGTGAAAGTCACCATGATTTAGATGCAGCTTTGTCTGTGCCTGAGCCCATCCTCTTCATAACTCTGCTCCTGTTCCTCCATTCCTAGATAGCTCCTTGACCTTGGCGTGCCTTCATTTCCTTTCCTGTGAAGTGAGGGTGATTACTTCACAGAGTATATGTGTGTGTGTATATATATATACATATATGCTATACATTTTATATATAGCTACTGTGAAGTACTCACAAATACAAAGTGGTATTCATTAATAATGATCTTTGTTACTGATGAACTTTGGCTCTGGAGTGCTCAGACTGCTAAGGCTGTCCACCTCAGAGAGGAGGCTGGGAGGACCACCTGGGAAGGCAGTTCCAGGAACTGAGTATAAATGAGTAGCAAGCTAGAAATCCTGTCTTCTGCAAGCCTGCAGAGCTGGGACTAAGTGGAAGGGGAAGGAGTATGGAACTAGCTGGAAGTTTGCCCCAGGTTAAGAACAAGGAGTGACCAGTGATTCAAAGTGTCCGTAGGGCACAGCAAATACCCGGCTTGATTTTTATTCAGGATCAATCCCAAGGAAGTCTTATCCTATGGAGAACCTGATTCCCTAGGTCTTTCTGGGCAGTCGTGCATTTGAGCAAAGTCTGTGCTGTGTCTTAAGAGGCTGTTCTTGAACGAGACCCAAGTTCATGACTTGAGTCAGGGGTAGGTGTCTTGGGTGGGCCTGGGGAAGCTGAACCCTAGAGCCCGTTATTCAGATGGGACAAGTTGAGGCTTCCATCAGGCTAACCAGATACTACTCAGCTATTAATGATGAGAGCTGTCCTATCAAATGTTCTCTGTGTGGGTGCCAATGTGTGTCAGCTGTCCTTTATCTGCATTTTCTGACCAAATCCTTACAGCAGCTCTGAGGTAGATAGAATTTTGTACAGTTGAAGAAATTCAGGTTTCAATCAGGTCAAACAATAACCAGTGGCAGGATTGGGCTTTGGTTTCAGAGCTAGAGTTTTAGAGCTAGTGGCCTGAAACATCACAGGTTTGGGGCCTTTGGACTAATTCTCCTTGAGGCTAAGCACAAAGACATCTTGCCCAGCTGGGTCACAGTGGCAGGATCACTGGGAGAGGACATGGGGTGGGATGCCCTTCTTGAGCACTGGGTACAGGCCATGTGTTATATTCTCTTTCCAGTGGCTGGTTATAAACTTGCTGCTCTGGGATTGCTGGGGTGACTCCTAAGCTTGGGACCCTTCCATTGGTGGGCTTTTCCCAGATGTTGTGATGTAGGTGGGCTCAGCACTCTAGCCTAGTGGTAAAGGTCATGGTTTTTCAAGCCAGACATACTAGGTTCTGCTTAAGTGATCTTGAGTAATTTACTTTGCACCTCAGTTTCCCTGTCTTTAAATGGGGTTGTAGTGAGGATCCATGAGTTTTAATGTCAATAAAGTGCTCAGCATAGTGCCTGGCACAGTATCAAGTGTTCAATAATTGATAACTGCTATTATTAGCTATTAGCTAACAGCACAAAAGTCCAGGGAGACTTTCAACCTTAAAACACTTGAAATACTGCCAACTTGGGACCCAGGGCCTGTGGGATTGAGCCTGGGGAAAGCTCTGGGAAAGAATTCTTTTCCCAAAGGGAGAGATAGACACAAAAGAAGGGAGCCCATTGGGTAATTGGGGGCTGTATGCACTATCAGATCTGAAAATACTTTTTTCAAATTTAAGATTATCACTTGCCTCAGCAGTCAGCTGGAATAGGAGCATTTCAAAGAAAACGGACAGAATGAAGGAAAGGGATCTAGCCTTCTGGCACTTGCTGATTGATCATCTGTCTGAATTGATTTTCCCCTCCTTTTTCTCATCTGCTGAGCATGTTAAAAGCCTTCAGTTTCAGCTGGTTCTGCTGTGTCAGGTCATCAAAGATGCTCTTACGTGGAGGGCCAGTGGGTAAATGGGATTAGAGCCTCTCTGGGAGGCCCATCTGTTCTGTCCCTACCTGAAGGCCTCAGCAGCAGATTTGGAGGAAGCCAGTACAATGAAGCATCTATCCAATGGGATGGGGTGAATGGCCTGGGGTAGGTGGGTCAGATGGAGGCCAGGAAATCCTCTTATCCTGCCAAGTACCTGGGCGTCCCTCAGCAGCAGGAGCTGAGCAGCAAACCCTGGTGAGTCAGCGTGCCTGGGAATTAGAGCTGCCAGTCTGTGAGCATGTGGGGTTTGTGTAAGTATGGGCCTTTTGTTTCTTTTAGCACGCTAGTCTTTAGAAACACAAATCTGGAAACCAGACCCTCCACATGGTATAGTCCTGCTTGTTTTGAGATAATTCAGCTTGAACAGTTGCTTCCCTTGTATGCTGGTCTCCCAAGAATGAACTCCTTGCCTTTCAAATTTTTAATAGGTTGTGCTTTATGGCTTACTTGCTATACTAGTAGAGCATACAAAGGCTTTAAAAAAACCTGCTTGGGTCTGTCATATTCCACACCAGAAACCCTTAAGAGTTTGTGTTTTGAAGCCTAAGTGAAACTGCAGGTCTTTAAGGACATGTGCAGACATGTCTCTTTGTCATTTGTTCTCTTTGAGGGTGGAGAATGGGACACACCCTGATACGATGAGTCTCTAAAAACTACAGGCATGATTCTGATATTCTTTTTAAACTTGTATACTCAGAATTTATCCATGGAATTCCTTTTAAAGATAACCCTGAATTTATCCAGGCACTTTTGGGAGAAGCTAAAGTTCTTTAAGTTAAAAGGTCCAGCCTTTCATAAAAAGCACCCTTCTGCCCCACTGGCAGTGTCCTAAGGGCTTTGAATTTGGATCATGAAGGCAGTAAAAGCTCTCTAGAGCTGGGGAGGCAGGGGGCATAGGACTGACCCTGATTTGGTCTGCTTTCCCCACTACACTTCTGGCTTCTGGTCTAAATTTCTATTAACATTGTAATTTCAGTGGTTCCAATTATTATAGCAGGTGGCAAAATTTTACAGGTACTGAATTATAAGTGGATCTTCTAGATGAAGGAAAGAATAAAGTCCTGAGTAGTCAGCGTCTTCAGAGACATCACCTCACCCCTGGCCCAGAAATTTCTAGCAATTCTTTAAAAAAGTTTTTCATTATCATGGTGGTTTATTACTTATATGAGCTTGTTACGTTATCAGAGCAGGCCTTTCTTTTCTAACTAGCAATTAATTATCCTACCGTTTGGAGATTGTATTTGGGTAAATCAGCCTTTCTTCAAAAGTGGAGAGACCTATGGGAGGACTGAGCCCACAGGCCCCAGGAGATCTTTACATTTGGTGTGGACTTGTCTTGCATTCTTCACACAGCGTTGAAGACCTGAGTCTTCTCCCTTCTCCCTTCTCCCCTTCTCAGGGGAGATAAAGGAACTTGGGGTCTGGAACCCTGGTGTGGAGTACGGGCTTCAGAGGTGTCTCCTCTGGGTGGGCAAAGGAGGGTGGAGAAAAAGGGCATTTCACTGACTGGGAGAGTCCAGAAAGGGATTTGAAGAGATCAGAGATAAATTTTACTTTGCTCTTTGGCTAGAACTCTGTTTTTAATCTTGACTCTGCAAATCTACTTCATCTTCAGGCCACTATGAAACTGTATAGTTGCCTTGGATGTGGTAACCGTTCTCTTTGCAGATCCTACTTAAAAAAGAAAATGAGGTTTTTGACATTAAAGATTAGAAGATGAATCTTTTATTTGCACCCTCTGGCTTAACGCAGTTTCAAATTACTTTCTTATTTGTGATGACTAGTTGGCAAGACAGATTTCCTCTGGAATATTTCTGACAAAACTGGAGTCTTTCTTGATGCATTCAGCACATGAATCAACCTCTTTGTAACCTATGTTACCTTAAGAATTTTAGAAATTTTCCTTATTGGTTCTCCATATGTGCCTTAGCCACTAAATTTCTAAGGTGAAGGTATAGAGCTAGCTGGCTTATGAGGGAGGTGGTGAACTCGGGTTCATGGTTGGCTCCTTGTAATAGAGGAGTGGCACCTGAGTATGTGGTCCTTGGAGGGGAGCTTGCATACCCCCATGTCTCTGTCCAACAGTGACTGCTTTCTAATTTCTTCCCAGGCTGGCTGGCTCCTCTGGCTGATGGCATGTTGAGGCACAAGGGCCAGTGGCAGCGAGGGCATCCGATCCAGAGGGGGCCACTCTAGAGACCAGGCCACCAGCACCATGGGCCAGTGTGTCACCAAGTGCAAGAATCCCTCATCAACTCTGGGCAGCAAGAATGGAGACCGTGACCCCAGTAGCAAGTCACACAGGCGGGGTGCAGGCCACCGTGAGGAACAGCCATCAGCCTGTGGCAAGCCAGGTGGAGATATCCTTGTCAATGGGACCAAGAAGGCAGAGGCTGCCACAGAGGCCTGTCAGCTGTCAACGTCCTCGGCAGATGCTGGGAGGGAGCCCAGGTCCAATGCCGAAGAGTCTTCCTTGCAGAGGTTGGAAGAACTGTTCAGGCGCTACAAGGACGAGCGGGAGGATGCAATTTTGGAGGAAGGCATGGAGCGCTTTTGCAATGACTTATGTGTTGACCCCACGGAATTTCGAGTGCTGCTCTTGGCTTGGAAGTTCCAGGCTGCTACCATGTGCAAATTTACCAGGTTAGTCACAAATACTTCATGTCACCAGGTGAGCAAAGGTGGAAAGAGCACCGCTGGCCGGTGGTACCCAGTTAGGATAGAATGTTGTTCGCTTCAGGGGGTTTTGTGTCAGTCTTATTTTTCTTTTTCTGACCAGTTTCTCTAAAGCTATTCAGCCTCTGAATAACTGGGCACCAACCATCTTTGTCCGATGTTAAGTGAGAGATGCTCTGTGGTGAGCCCTGGTGCTAAGCTGCTGCCCAGTCCCCTGCTCTTGCTGACCTTTGTCTCTTCTTTCACTTCTTGGCTCGTCTGTTCCCTCACATGGTATTTACTTTACAGCTATCCTGTGCCAGCACCCCAGTGTAGTGGGTGCCTCTGGGGATGTGCCTGTCACTGCCTGAAGCCAGTTGCCCCTTATAGCTCTTTGCACATTGCCATCAGCCAGCCTATGTGCTGATAAGGACAGCTGGCTCCAGTCATCAGGCAGTAGTTGTACATGTTGTCATGGTCATGAATCTCTGTGGAGGTTGTTCATGGGGGAGAACATGGCAGGGTCAACCCTGAGGTGTGGTTTGCAGAGAATTGACTTTGACGACCCCACACCTCACCCTGCCCAGTTTCAGCCCCCAAGTAGGTTATCTGACAGACCTTTTAGATGCCTTGTGACAGTGGATACAGCAGTCTCTGAGAAGATGATCCTTGTGAAACCATGTTGTAAGCTGAAAGTGTTACATAGGGGTTTTTAGTGACAGAACTTTGATCTCTGGTGGCAGTGTTACCCAGGTCCATCCACAGTCTTTGGCTCCAAAAATCGCCCTTGGCAGTCACCAAAAGTATTGCCAAAACAACCAACCTTAGGGAATCAAAAGGAGAAAAAGAAGACTCCCTTCATGGGGGGAGAGTCTGCAGCCTAGTAACTACTGCAGAGTGGGGAGTGGGGCACAGAACAGAAAGCTTGAGTTTAGCTTTGGAAAGATGAACAAATGAATGGATGAACCATTATCGGCTGCCTGCTTGTGCCAGGCATTGTTAGAAGCAGTTGACATATATCAACATGTTTAGTCTGCACCAGAACACTGTGAAGTCAGGTGGTCTTCTCACTTACTACTTGACAGATGAAGAAAGAGGACCAATTAGTGGAGGAGCTGGAATTCCAATCCAGGCCATCCTGCTGCAAAGCCATGCTCTTAATCACTACACTGTGTTGCCTCTCAGTAAATGATATCATTTCCAATTATTAATTGTGCCCCCTCCTTCCTATTGCAGGAAGGAATTTTTTGATGGCTGCAAAGCAATAAGTGCAGACAGCATTGATGGGATCTGTGCACGGTTCCCTAGCCTCTTAACAGAAGCCAAACAAGAGGATAAATTCAAGGATCTCTACCGGTTTACATTTCAGTTTGGCCTGGACTCTGAAGAAGGGCAGCGGTCACTGCATCGGGAAATAGCCATTGCCCTGTGGAAACTAGTATTTACCCAGAACAATCCTCCGGTTTTGGACCAGTGGCTAAACTTCCTAACAGAGAACCCCTCGGGGATCAAGGGCATCTCCCGGGACACTTGGAACATGTTCCTTAACTTCACTCAGGTGATTGGCCCTGACCTCAGCAACTACAGTGAAGATGAGGCCTGGCCAAGTCTCTTCGATACCTTTGTGGAGTGGGAAATGGAGCGAAGGAAAAGAGAAGGGGAAGGGAGAGGTGCACTCAGCTCAGGGCCCGAGGGCTTGTGTCCCGAGGAGCAGACTTAGTGGCACTGTCACAGGAGCAGCAGCAAGGATCTATCTGCCTGCTGCCCAGCAGCCAACTGAGGAACTGGACCTTTCTGGAAGTTACTGAAGATCCGGATATTTTCTACTTTACACCTTTCTCTGCCTTGTATCTGAAAGGGCTCTAAAATGCTGTATCATGTTTTAGGCACTTTCTTCACTTTTTGGTTATTTTGGTTACTTCATTTTTTGAGGGGGTTCCCCCAAATATTTGAACCTGGCTACATGTTGTGTATCTTTTCTTTGAAGCCTTCAGATAGAATAAGCCTGCCATTTCTTGCACATATTGGAGGGGTTTTTTTGTGGGGGAGGGTGTAGAACAGGGAGGGCAAATGGAACAGTTAGGTTGAATTAACATTACAAGGTGATACAGTGCCAGATCTCAGTTTAGCATATTCTGTTTTTCAGGGCAGGTCTGTACTGTGTGTAGTGCTGTTTACATGGTTGAATTTAGGTTGTAATAATTATTTTTAAAGATTTACACAGAGTTGAATAGCAGTGTTAACTGTCAACCACATTGCATTAATTCCCAGGCAGTTTAAAGCTCTTGGAGAGTTAAGGCCAGCCAGGAGTGTTTGTAGTCTGGTGACAACCCCCTTTTAAGCTAATTTATCCAAAACTCTTATTACTTTCCTCACTTCCTGCTCATTCCTTCTTTAACCTATTGCATTTCGTGTTGATTTTATCCATCAACATGCTGCACCTGTCAGTCAAGTGAGCATTTTTTTTTAGAACACATTGTACTGAGAACCACTTAAGCATTGAATGCAGAGAAAGCAGTGCTACCTCAGTTTTTTTGGAAGTAGACTTCGATAGTTTTCTTTCTTTGATGAATTTTCTGTATTTTCGTGTTGTAAGTGGAAATACTTTATTTTTTCATTTGCCTTGGAGCCAAAGTTTCTGTTCTGGGTGGTCGGAAAACTGTGCCTACCGGCCAGCTGACTTGAAGGAAAACTGGTATGGAGCTCTGCTTGAATTTTTTTTTTTTTTTTTTGAGTATCATCTGCTTACTTGTCTGGCAAGTGCAGAAGCCTGAGGCTGGCCTGAACTCTGCCAAACAAATACAGAAGTGTATTTAATAGTTACATGTGTGCCCTTTCCCTTCTTGCTGCACCCATGTTGTCACTTAATCCCCAGGAATTATTTATTATCTTCTTTGTTAATGTCAGGCTCATTTGGGGTAACGTGATGACTGTTTAGGTTTACATGACCCCTCTTGCCTTCCCATGCCCCCAGAATATGTATATATACATATATATGTATATATTTTACCTGTATAAAATATATATATATACACATATATGTATCTATATTCCTTTGTTTCTTTGCCTGCTATAAAACTGGCCATAAAATAGGGACTGCCTTCAATATATAAAGTATAGAAGAATGCCAGGGAGTGTTATAATGGAGGCTTTTGAATCAGAATTTGGGCTATTTTCACTTAAAAGAAGATGAAGTTTCTCAGCCTTTTTCTCAAAGCAGGGAGGCCAGTCCCCCAGCCTCCTCTGCGTGCTTGCTCCGTGAGGCCAGAATTGCCCCAACTGCCACCCAGGAGCGGACTTGGTTTCAGTAGAGGGTCCTCTTGTTATTCTTCCATTTAAAAAATATGTCCTCATAAAACTGTACTGGAAAGGTGGGTGGCAGGAACTTGTAGAGTTCAGCTTCCAACACATTGGAACAGATTGAAAAGGGAATCTTTTAAATAAAAACTTACAAAATATTTATCCTCTTGAGGTAATGAGAATTTATCTATTAAACACTTGGAGTTTTTTCTCCCAACTATCCTATCTCCCTCCCTCCCAGGTATGTTTCTCAACCTGGGCAGAAATTACTTATTTTGAGTTCCTTATTAAGTAGCCTTATGGTTTCAGGATCCCATTTTAGAATAATGATTATTTAAGGAGATTTTGCAGTTGTTGTTTTCATAAAATTGACACAGACATAGGGAACACTTTTAAATCCTAAATCTTAGAGTTGCCCTTCTGGAGGGGCAGATGGGTAACTTTAAAATCAAGCCCACGGTAGGTTAGCAATACTGCTAGAAAGCTATAGAGGGTCTCAGGCTAAATGTCTGGCTTTGCTCTAACCTAGGACACAAGATCTTTGACTAAAGAGTTTCTAGGGGCTCTGGCAGGTTCTATTGGCTCAACTGTAGTTGGGGTGCCCAGGCTGAGGTCTTAAAGAGACCACCTTCCCATCCAGCCAATCTGCAACCTCCTGTTTCTCCTAATTCTGGATTGGGTAGAGGTGGAAAGGAAAAGGCAGGCTGTGCCTCGCCAGGTAAGGCTTTCTGTCCCAGATGAGCAGGGTGTATGGAGAGAAGTGTACCAAAGGGGGAGGTGCTGAGGATCCTGAGGACTCCGGAGGAGCTGGATTCCTTCCCTGGCCTGTAAGAAGTCATTCCATGCTGAGGTATACTATAGTGTGTGGATTTTGTTTTTATTTAAGTTGTTCAGCTTCCTCACCCTCCACAAAAGAGCCTTTTAAAAATTATTTGTTCATATTTTTAATAATCTATTTGTTACAGAAATGTAAATGAGAAGCCAGGGAAGTGAGCAGTCAGGGAGGGACTTACAGGTTTCTTTTAGGTTTTAGTCCCTGACGTAAGGAATTTAAGTTAATGCAGTAGCTCTGGATCAGTGCTTGACTTTTTTAAGACCATAGGGAAAGCAGTTTTTCTCCCAAGCGATCTAAGGTGGGGTGTATGTAGGTTTCCAGTTACATTTCTGGGAAATGACTTGTCCCTGTTCCTCTTCACCTAGGAATAGGTTTGCTGCTTAATGAGCAGTACTTGTAAGAGGCCAAATGCATGCTGCTCAGGTAAGCCAGTGCACACCAGGGTGGTGTGGAGAGGGGAGGGATGTGGATGCCCATTTTGAAAAGACGTAGATGCCTGAGGGGGACAACAAAGTGAATGTTTTGGAAGTTGCTTGTTTTTGGTAAATGGCTTTTTTTCTGAGTTTCTGTGGTGGTTCTTTAGCAATTTGTTAGACCAGCTGTATGAGATGAAGTGTTGCTTCATTGACTGCTCTTCCCCCATCCCTGCCAAATTTTAATGCATCACTCTTAACCCCACCTCCTATAATGACACTTTGTTGTGCTTCAGCTGATTGCCTCATCAGTTCTCCCCCATCCCTGCCAGATGTGCCCACATGTTTGAGTTGGGTTAAGACCCCATACCTACCCTTTTGATAAAAGAAAAACCTAGAGTTCTGAGTAAAGATCCAAATCTCAACTAAGCCCCCAGGCCCCCAGAAATCCAGCTGAAGGCAGTATTTTCAATATTAAACTTCCAAGAAGGAAGAAAGGATTAAGCCACACAGTATTAGGCTTGGAAACCCTACTGATCTCCCAGGGGCTGATGCCAGGATTCAGTCCTCAGTGCTGGAATCTGCAGGGTGTGGGACGCCAGAGCTCATGTGATGGTCTCACATACTGTACCATGCCAAACTACATTACCAGTGGTGGGAAATCACTGGGATAAGGACTTGGATCTAAAAGCTTAGGAACCAAAATATCTGTATTTAGGACTGTGTTTGGTTTGCCACATTTAAAGGAAAGTTGAATGCAGTGAAGCCCAGAGGTAGACCAATTACACAATCACAGGGGCTGGAATGAAGCTGCTGCTGGGTTTGTATTTTGTTTTGTATTACTTTCCTGCTTTGCCATTTTTCTTGCATCTCTAATGTTTGCTTAGTAATGACTTGAATATCTTGGTCACTGACAAATGTCTTCCTTGAGGGACTCCAGCAGTACTTGTTTAAACAGCTGAAAGGACTGTCAAAAATGATCCGTGTGTTACTTGGGACTCTTTTGAGGACATGACATTGATCTTCCTCTTGCTCCACAAATCTGTTTTCTGAGTCATGTAAAGGGGGTTCCCACCCACCCCACTTCAGTTTATTTCTATGATAAGCTGCAATAATAGCATATGTCCAGTTTAACCTGGACTGGGACTGTGTTTTGGTGGGTGTTTGCAGGTTTTTCCTTATGAAAGATGAAATTGATGCTTGAGCACTGGATGCAGAAGCCAAGATGATTCAAGTAGCTTTGAGTAACCACCAGGTTCTGCTTTTGATTCAGGTGCGGGGCATCATGTCCTCCTTATTCCTCTTCTTAGAAACTTAGCCTGCCTCTCAGATACCAACCCCACCCACCTACCACCTCTCCCTATGATTTTTAATGCAGACTTTGGACATTGCCAAAGGAAGCCATTCAGCAGCTGCTGTGGGTTGATTTTTCCTCCATCATGCACCTATTCTGTCTGGTATTATCTGCCCACTGACCCTGGTCCCCAGCTCCTGGTCTGACTAATTGCTTTTACTTGTTGCACTAATGAATAGGATTCTAAGTTTCAAAGGGGGAATTTGAAGCAATAGGCAAATGGGGTTTGGATGAATTGGTCCTATAGATACCCTGCCTTAACTCACTGAGGTGATGAGTCCACTGCTCATGTGATCCTCCACCTTTGTGGATTCTCTAGGTTTGTGACCAGTGTTTCTATTTCTTGAGGTCGTACAAACTTGACAAAAGTCAATACTTCAGTTTGTATTTTCTGCACTGTTGCAGTCCCTGAGTGGTCCCTTGAATATTTTTTAACTTGTTACACATGTTTTTGTCTTTGTCTACGTTCTTTCTTTTTTTAATTTGGAAGATTACCTGCTGTTGGTTTTAATAAATTTGTTTACTTGACTGTTGACAATTTTGAGAGAAAACCACACCTCCATCCCTTCCCTCAAAAAAGCCTAAACCACCAGTGACTTTATTCTGGAGTAAGATTTACCCACTTGGGAGCCTTTTCTAACATGGCATTGGATAGCAATTCCTATTCTTTGGAAAATAACCCAGATAATACAGGCTCCAGACTCCCGATATGGGTATTGACTTCCTACTCACCAAGCTTAATCGTGTTCTTTGGGGTTCCAGTACTTACAAAAAGCAAATGAGACTTCAGTGGCCACCACCTATATCATCTTACCTCAGCAACTGATGTGGATTCGTATGAGAAATAGGAAGTAAATTTGAACACTGTGTAAATGGATGGCTCCCGCATCTATCCGGTTGGCAGTGATTAAGGCAAAGGAGATAAGCTGAAACTGTCAAGTACCACTGCTGTGTGATCTTTGGCAAGTTAGTGAAATTCTGAGTTTCCTTTTTACTCAACTGTAAAAATCAAAGAGACGTATTTCCATCAGAATGTTAGGATTTAAAAGAAAGACCTTTTAAAGCACTTAAGAAACGAAAAGGTTGAGGTTTTCAAAAGGATGTCAGGTAAGAAATGCAGGGAATCCAGAGAATAGGAGGGGAGCTGGCATGGCCACATGGGGGCTCAGCTTCCCTCTGTGTCAGACTTGGGGGTGGGAGGCTTAATACTAACACAATCCCTGACAGCTCCATCTCGCTCTTAGAGAAGTCTGATTATGGTAGACCACTTATGACCCTTAGCTTCCTTTCATTGTATTTTCTGTCTGGTTTCTGTTTATATTCAGGAAAGCTATTGGCCAGCCATCTTACTTCTTTGATGAGGCTCTAATAGCCTTCCCAGAGATTCTCAGCCTCATGTTGGTATCTCCAGAAAGTAAGTACAGTGGTGAGATTAGATGTGCTTTTACTTTACTTTTCTAATCGAAAGGACTTGGAAGTCATGGCTACACCCTCTTTCTAGCTAGGGAGAGGGTTGTATGTTTGTTTTCTCAATGAATTGGAATTTCATTTTCTCTTTCAACCTTATTACCAAGGTCAGCATCAGATTGAGGCTGGAAGGAAATCTAGGTGGGGGTGACTTGTTTTTCTTACTTAAAAAATATACCTCCAAAGCATGTACTTATTCCCCAATTGGTTCTTGGGTTTGTGTCTTCTGTGCTCTGGCCCTGTGAGTTACCAAGTCCAGCAAGGGCCTTACAAATACAAGTGTGGAAAATAAGGAAGCATGCTGATTTAGGTGCTTTGTATAGAGACTGGCACTATTCAAAGTGTTGTCAGAGTGCTGTACAGATTATAGACAGTTAAAACCCCATTTTCAGTCAGAACTTTTGGGCAAGAACTTCACACAGTTATCAGATGTGCTTAACTGCATGTGGAATGGACTTCTGGCAAGAAAGGTAGAGTGAAGGTGGCGCTGAGGGTCCAGCGGAGTACTGTCGAGTCGCCTCAGCACTGGCCAGCTCCCTCCTCACAGATCCAGCTGCCAGAAAGCACATGGCTGGGTCGGCTCTGGATGTCATCTCTGGCTTTGTGTTTTGCGTTAGGCCCAAAAAGGTTAGTCTTTCTGGATAGGAAAGGCAAGGCACCCAGCCTAACCTCTCATCCTCTCCTTTACTGTGACTTTGGAGGCTGTGCTCTGTCTTACAAAAGCCATAAGGCTCTTAGTGGGGTTTAACGTTCTTCCTGTATAACGTTCCAGCCTTGACTCTCCTGCCTTAGGGGTGCTGAGAAGTCCTACTTGGATGTGGTAGCAAGGTAGTCAGCAACAAAGCATCTAACTCCATAGTGTTTTGTAATCCACACTGACAGGGACTCTCTGTGGACCCTGTGTTTATCTGGGACGGTGCTGCTGAAATGGCTAGTATGTTAAAATACAGAGCTACAAAACAGTATGGTACTAGTCTAAGAAAGGACAGAAGAAAACATGCACAAAGGCTCTTGTATATACATGGACTTACATAAGAAAGGAGGCATCCTCTACTGAGTAAGTAAAGACAGCTAATTGGATAAAATCTAAATATTTGGGGGAAAGTTGCCATATGCCAAAATAAATTCCAGGAGGAATAATGGTGTAAGTATATATAGGAACATATTTGAAATAATTGACAAGTGGACACTATACTGAATCCATAAGGAGACCTTAAAAATTCAGTATGGGAAAGTACTTAACAATGGGAACATGGACAAAGGATATGGACAACTCACAGAAGGAAAACAACTGGCCAAAGAGCTTCTAGAGAAGATAGTAGACACCAGTCTAAAAGGTACTCTAATAAAATGCAGTTGAACCCTTAAAAAACTTTTTTTTTAACCTACTAAATTGGCAGAGATTTCAAACAAATCCATGCTAGCAAACACAAGGTAGAACTTCTCTGGAATTTAAAAAATCTTAAGTGTTCATACTCTTCAAACCAATAATTCTACTTTTAGGAATTTTTCCTCAAGAAATATTATTTGCCAAAGATGTGTGTGCAAGGATATAAGTGACAACATCATTTGGGAACAACTTTAGTGTCAGCAATTAGAAGTCCTGGCACACACTAACATGTGGAGTACTATATAGCCATTAAAAATAGCTTTTGGCTAATGGAAGAATGTAAAATAGTGATAGTCATTGAACTCTGAGTGGTGGGATAGATGTGATTTTAACTTTTCTGGATTTTTTGTTTCCATTAATGGGTTTACATACAGTGAAGAAGTTATTTACAAGATGGGGGACAAAAAATGAAAACAAACATGGCTGAGTCTTCTGAACAACCCCACTAAGGGTGAAGAGATCAGAAAGTTGGGAGTAATATATTCAAAGCCTAAATCAAAAGTTCTGTAAAAACCTTTGGAGTTGCTTTTTCCCCCAAATGAGAAGTTGCTTCTCCAGCAGCTGCCTTGGCAGCTCTGCATTGGCTGCATAAAAGGGTGTGGGAGGAAAAATGCACAAACGCACTTATGAATGGAATGTGTATTTTGCAAGAGGCCAAGTTGGCAGCTTTGGCTTCCAAAAGGTGGGAGCATCAGCTGAAAGAACAGAGTGTGCAGACTGAGGCCTCCAGAGACCTTATGATCTGGGCCCATCTCTGCAGCGTTGCGGATTTGGGAGCTCGGGGAAACCTCCAGCCTTACCATCCAGAAGGAAATGACCTTGGCAATTCCTGGGAGCAAAGGGAATGCTCCTGGCCCAGGGAGCCCTAATCTGCTCCAGAATCCTACACTTGGAAGGTAATTCTCAGTAAAATGTTTTTTTGAACACTTAATGTGGGCTTTCCCTAATCTAACCCTCCTAACAACCTTATGAAGTAAGTACTAATGTCCCCATTTTAAAGATGAGGAAATGGGCTGAGAGGGAAAACAGTTCATGCACAGCCCAGTATTCTATCATTTTCCACAAACGATCTTTGCGTTTTCAGTCTTTATAAGGAAAAACTTCTCCATTTTGCACGGCTATGGAAACAGACTCAAACAAGGTTAAGTGACTTGCCCAGGAGCACAGCTGAAGCACCACAACCCAGGCCTGTCCATATCCAAAGACAGACACTTAATATTGTCTCAGGACTGGAGTCTCAAGACGTAGCTAGCAGCTAAGCTCCTACAGCTTTGGTGTTCAGCTGGGTGGGAAACAATCCAGTGACCCTGTCAGTTTCAAGATGTTCTCCGGCCTTGCAGCTGAGGTTGGCAGTACACCTGGGGGATTTTCCTCTTTATAAGGGAGTTTCAAGTTCCAGTGTCCCAATCCCAAGCTAAACTCTTTGCTCCTGGCTCCTGGTTCCCAACTTTCATTAGGGCCAGATCTTAAAGCAGTTACATATAAAGGATTAAACACTGCCTCAAATGGCCAAACTTTTGAGGGTTACTTTTAAGTACCTTCCTAATTATTAAAGCATTTTATGCTGATTAAAACAAACAAAAAAAACAGTAGCAGCCTACCACAGAAAAGCACTTCGTAAAACCTCATCTGCCAACCCCACCAGCCAGAGATAAGTACTGTTAACATGTTGGCATGTAGCCTTCCAGGTTTTGTTCAAGCCTATACATATCTTTGTATGATTTTTTCCTACAAAAATGGATATAACACGTACTATTATGTAGCTCCATGCTTCATGCAACATACACTGTGAATGCACAGTATCATTTTCACAACTCTCCTATGAGGTATGTGCACTACTGTCCCAAGCACAGAGATGTTAGGTAATTTTTCACTCAACTGAGAAGCAGGAAGGCTGGGATTCAGACTTGGCAATCTGGATCCAGAGGTCTACTGCTAGTTCTTGGAGATCTTTTTCACTCAGAAATGTTATTTGCACACACACAATTTTTTAAAAATGGCTACCTAGTATTCCATTGTACTAACCATGTGATACCTATTAAACACATGTTTTTGTGAAACTATCCTGTTACTGTAAAATATTTTATAAGTAGAATTGCTGGGTGCCAGAGTATAGAGCTATTTTACAAGGTTTTTTGGTGCAATATACACTGCCAGATTAGTTAATCTTTTCTTGAGGGCAGCTAATATGTATCAGTTTGGGGATTGTGTGTGCCCGGGTCCTTTTCAACATGGAATATACAGTTTGAGAGCTGATAAAAAAAAAAAACCGCACTGGCTTTTTTTGAAATTCAAGCTTCTAGTTCTGAGGGGGAGATCTGGTGTGATGGAGGCACCTACTGGTGAAAGGTGGTACTGCAGTCTCACTGAAGGAAAGGAACCATTTCTAAAAATGGAACGGGAAGGGGGACTTGCAGTGTCTCAATCCCAAACTAAGCCCTTTGGTTCTAGCTCCTGGTTCCCAGCTTTCACATAGGGCCAGATCTTAAAGCAGTTACACTTAAAGGATTAAACATTGCCTCAAATGCCCAAACTTTTGAGGGTTACTTTTAAGTACCTTTCTAATTATTAAAGCATTTTATGCTGATTAAGACAAACAAACAAAATATACTGGAGTGTTGGGAAAAAACTGAGTCTTCCAGTCCTCTGTCTGGTGGACCTGCCAGATTTTCAGTTTAGCCTATCTCTTTCCTTCAGTTTTATAATAGCTGTCATTGAGAAAAGTTTGCCTTACCAGAAATTTGCTTCAGATTAGATAGTTTTTACACACTGCACAATGGCTGGTTGGCAGTACACCTAGGGGAAGAAGTCACTCCTCCTGATTTCCTTACCTGTGTATTACACCATTTAATAGGAGTGCTACATGGAATGAGCACCTGCCATGTGCCTGAGTATAAACCCACTGACACAAAGAAAGTACAAACTGTGGTTTCCTCCTCTCTGTCTTAAGATGAGGAAAGCTTGAATTTTAAGCATTTATTGAAATTTTGTATGTGCCATATAAATGGACTAGACGCTAGCTGGTACACCATTTCCACCTGTCTGCTGGAATAGAAAGGCCTGGCAGCCTAACCACATTTTCTGCTATTGCACAGAGGGATAAGAAATGGCACATGAAAGTGGCAGGCCGACTCATAAACACAGGTTTGGGGTGGCACTATCCTCTTCTTTTATTCCCATCAGTCCTAGGCTAGAGGGTGGTGATCCATGAGTGCTGCAACAAATGGAGTGAAGGCAGGTTTTAGTTAGAGGGTTGAATGAATGGTTACACATTCACAGACAGAGGAGGTCAAGTTTTTCGGTATGCATATGTGCCACGGGGCAGGAGGCAGGCAGGTAGAAAGTTTATGGAAAGCTACTGCTGAAAATGGTTCAATGGAAAGAATACTGGCTAGTCCTGTAGGATCAGTCATAGCTCTGCCACTTAACAGATGTGGGGCACAGATCAACCAAGGGTAAATGACCTCAAACTGAGTTTGTTTCCTCAAGAGGAAATAGCTGTAAAATTATTAAAATTTAAATTACTGTATCACAGGGCTTTTGTGAAGACTTGAGGCAATAGCTGCCACATGCAGAGCACTTCCTACACATCAGTCTTTGTTCTAAAAGCACTTTATATGCGTTATTTAATTCTCAAAACAGGTCATGTACCTAACATAGGTACTGAGGTAGGTACAATTGTTATATCCATTTTTCAAATAAAGAAATAGGTTCGCAGACATTATATAAAGAACCAGGCAATAATGGCAGTCTGCCATCAGAGTCCTTTTAAATTGCCTTTAGTTTAACTTATTTGTTTTACTTAAAATTCTTTTGTGGCACTTACCATGTGCCAGAATTGTTAAAAAAAACTTTATATTTATCTGTAATGTATGTTATAAAACACCTGGCACAGTGCTTAGAATTTGAGAGTCATCCCATACATGTTAGTTTCCTGACACTTTGTAGTGAATATTCAGGCACTTGGTTGGAAGGCTGAGGAGCTCTCCAAGGCAAAGCGGGCAGAAGTGAGCAAAGAAACACAGATTCTGTCTCCACCTGATGTCTGAACTTAAGCTAATGAGTCTGAATTTAAGCTAATGAGCCTTTTGGGTGGGGAGGATTAGAGCTTTGAGTGCTGCAAAATGGCTCTGGACAGACCATCATGCTTCAAATCCTAATTATCAGCTGTATGACCTCAGACAAGTTTCTTGATCTGAGCCTTTCTCTTCTTGTTAAATGAGGACTCAACAACCTCAACCAAAAATGCATATAGAACCATTTAGAACAGTACCTGACAAGCGTTTGATGAATTATAGTAATTACTATTTTCAATATTAATTTTAGCAGCTATCAGAAATATAAAGATTAAGAACTGAGTCAGGCTCCCAGCATGAGGAAACCTATCCTCTTTGCTATGCCTTCCTAGGCCACTTTGACCCTTTCCCAAGGGTATCTGCTGGCATCATGGAGATGGTTGCACAAAGCCCAGAGAAGTCCACACAGTAAGTAAGTTATACACTGGGGTAATGGATGCTCCTGCTGCTGGGTTTGATCAATATGGCTACAGAAATCAGAGTGTAACTTTTTAAAAGAAAGAAGTAGCATCAGGTTCCCTTACTGCAGGACTGGCTGTTCCCAGAGTTTTCTTCTGACTTGTCTAACACGTCTTGGGACCTTTGCCTCAGTCAAATCCTAAACCTTGCTACTCTCTGACCCCAATACTCCCTGCTCCAAGCCCTCCCCCATGTAGAACATTCTGGCCACTTCTGGGAGGAGAAAGCTTTGGCCCATTGTTGGCTTAGTTTACCTGCACAGTGAGGAACTGCAGTCTTTAAGTGTTCTACCTGGAACACGGAGGCCAGTCCCTTGGTCTACCCGAGCTCCATACACTGGCTCTGGGAAGCTATGTCAGAGCAAGTCTGTGTGCCCCTCAGATCCTTGCTGTTAACAAAAAAGCTTTCTTGGCAACTTTTGGTCACTTTTAACCTCTTATTATAGCCTACCCACAAACCTGTTTAAAGTGTATCAATCTAAGATTTTTTTTCCCCCCAAGGTAAACATCTAATTCTTGTTTCTGTTTCCCAGAGACAGCAGTTCTCACTAGTGACCCAGCAGGTACCCCATTTCAGTAGTGGCCAAGATACATGGACACATGTTACAAGGATTTTATGACAGGAAATTAATTTCTGATTTAGACTTAAAGGCCCAAGGCATTCATGTTTTGCCTATCTGGGACCTTGGGCCTGGAAAAGAATACTAGAATTCAGAATTTTAAAGGATTTTCAGAAATAATTCACTCCATTCATTCATCTACTCACTTATTCCAGAATTGCCCATCTTTATGCTTTAGAATTTAATACGATTTTTCTTTTTAAAGGGGGTTTTATACTTAAAAGGGCTGGAAAATCACTGATATACTCCAAATCCCTTATTTTACCAAAGAGAAATTAAGACCCACAGTGGGAAACTGGCTTGACCACCTGTCAGAGGAGATAGATGGTAGAGCTGGGACTGGACCCAGAGTTCTGCCTCAGTATTCCTCACACCTAGAATCAGCAAAACAACTCCTCTCACTTAAAAGTTAACAGAGGTAGCAAAGTAGGAGAGGGCAGGGAAGGTAGGAACACATTCCCAATATGTGGGAGAGACAAGTGTTAGTCACACTAAGCCGAGGCCTTGCCCTAGAACTTGACTATTTTTACTCAAGTGGGGCTGGACAGCTGCCTCTTGTCCAGAGAGGCTGCAAGACCAGAGACCCCTGGCTTTAAACTGGGATGAGCTATCTCCTTGAGAGACCAATAAGTGTAGTTAGAGAAGAGCATATACATGTAAAATGGGGATATAATACAAGTCCTCATTTATGTGCCTGCCTGGACATGAACAAAAGGCCTTTTGCTAAGAACAGCTGAAGTCCAGAAGCTAGAACAATGAAGGACAACCCAGTCCTCACCTCTTGGTTCCTGGCAGCAGGATGAGGCAGAGGGTCCCTGGGCACAGGCTGTGGTAGAGCTTTTCTATCTTCCGACCCCAGCGCCAGGCTACTACCTTTGGGTGGTCCACCTTCAGAGTCTAGGATCAAAGACACATGTTGACACTTAGCTAAAGTACCCACTTGCTCACCTGTGGAAGGGCTGTAACATTCTTCCTCAGGCTCTAGGGCCATGGAATTCCAGGAAAGGCTCTCTATGAACCCTTAATCTGAAGCTAGATCCGATACTGCAGGGCTCCCTGTCCATCCCAGCAGCCCCAGGCCACCAAGACAGTTAAGGAGGAAAGTTGCTGTCTTTTCGTCCATGTGGGTCTTCAAGGGCCTCAAGCTAAGGAAACCACATCACTAATGAGAAACTCTAGTCTGGCCTTGGCTGTGAAGTATCTTTGTGACTGGGGCAAGTCTCTCACAAGCCTTGGCCTCTATTTCTCATCTGTTAAGTACAGAAGATTAGACTAGGATAGGGTTTCCCAAACTTCAGCCATTCACCTTCTACCTTTACCCTCTGCTTGTGTGTTCCTCTAATGTCTTTCTTTAAAGTGAGTCAATTTCTTCCTTAGCTTCATCTAGGTAATACTATCCACAAAATCACAGGTTCAGTGAGTTGTTATATACTTGAATGAGTGTCAGAAAAACAAGTTCATACCTACAAGTGAAAGAGAAAAAAAAGCCCATCTATGATCACCAAAAATTATCTTGTGTATTTGTACCACACTTTGGGAAACCCTTGATCACTAAAGACCCATCCAGCTCTGCAACCTATGTCAGTCCCTCTGCCTTGGAGAGCCACCTGGAGGGCCCAAACCAGATCTTAGCAGGTATGGAAGGGACAAAAGTATGAGAGATCTTGGAGAACAATGTGTCGTCCAGGGCTGGGAGAAGCTGAAGAGTGAAGTAAGATTACTGCCAGGGCAGGGAAAAAGATGGAAGGCTTAAGTGTCATTTGAGCAGGATTCTCCTGACTAATTTTTGTAAACATCAGAAGGCCAATGCTCAGAGCCAGCAAACCAAGGCACGTTTCCCCTCTGGCTCCAGGAAATGCTCACTCACTCACTCACTCACCTGGAAGGCTAGCTGCTCCCAGGGGGGAGGTATGACACGAACCCCTGGGGGCCTTCTTGATTAGGAGGTAAGTCCCTGAGCCCTGTGCAGAGGTGCCTGGGGGTTAGGGCACGCCTGCCTTTCAGCTTCCAGTCCTTGCCTATGAGAATGTTGAGGGCCCTATAGGCACTGCCAAAAGTTTTGAATTCTGAAAGTAAGAATACCCCCTACTATTATTAAAGGCCAAAAAAGTTGGTTACCACCAACCTGGAGCCCAGCCAGGGCCATGGGAGGACAGAATCAGAAGCTGTTGATCTGTCTAGCCCAGGAGAGCTTATCTGGTGAACATTTCCTTTCTCTGCTCATGTTATCTCCTTCCCCAAGGTTACATTCAGTGGCATAGATTTACTCAGGAAACAATATTTTTTCTGCTTTTCACTTTCAAGCTGTTTAGGCAAGATCACAGCCTCCAGGCCAAGGATGAGGTTGGACTGCTACAGCAGGTGTTCTCTGAAGTTTTTGCTCACTCCAGACAGGTATATAGTACCTTGATTCTTGGAATCTTGTTCCAGCTCATTCCAAAGAGTGTCACAGGGTGAGCTCTGTCACAGGCCTCTGCACCTAATCAAGGAAAGATGGTGTTAGTGGTGCATAGTCACCACTTCACCCCCAGGTCTGTTATATACTAGCAAGTAACTCAATTCTGCAGTTTCCTCATCTGTATAAGGAGGCTAATGGTAACTGCCTCATAGGCCTATGGTAGAGACTTAGGTAATAAATAAATACATAAATGTAGTATTTTTGTGTAAGTATACTTTCTCCTCCCTTTCCTTCTCCCCTCCATGGCCCTGCAATGGAAATAACTTTCCTGCCTTCTACTCCAAAAAAATTGTTTACTTGCTTAAGAAACCTTAAAATACCACTATTGATCCCCCTGAAAGTTAAACGAAAGGGCAGCTACAAAAAACCATGCAGAATAAGCCCTTTGGGGTCTAAATAGTAATGAAGAATACAAGGAAGACCCTACAATTACCCAGGCTGGTTATGACAAAAACTAAAACAATCAAATCTTAGTCACTGCTAGAATAGCAGGTTTGGCTTAAGACTTGCTATAATGAAGTCTTGTGCCTGGACCTCTGGACTGTGTTTCTGTAAGCTGTCTGTTTTACTTAGGGCACCATGAATACAGGCTGTGCTAGGCTAGGGCTGAATGAAGGGACTGCTTTTTGCTTTCTCTAGCTATCCTACCTTGATGCAGGCACCTTCTACTAGAATGCCATCCATGGACTCTATGGCCAGCTGGGCAGCTTCCAGGACTTCAAATACAGAGATGTGGCTGCAGGAAAAACAAGATTTCCTTACCTTTGTTTTCCAGGCCCAAACTACCAGAGAAGGGGCTGGGGAAGGGGCCTAAAATCATGAGAATGGATGTGCTTGCTGTGTTGGGCGAGACAGTGACTGCAGAATATGAATTTTAAGTGGAATCACCAAAGTTTAGGAACTGGTTTCTTAGATAATAAATAACCTTTATTTGTCATTTCAAATTGAAACCCTCTCTCCCTGGGTGGTATGCAGAAGCAATAACAAATCCTTTATACCCAACTTGCTTTTCATACTAAAGTCATCATTGCATGTCACAGGTAGAGATTCCCATTTGCCTTGTTAGCTTAATTTTAGAAGTGCAGCTTTCCTATAAGCTTGAAGAGACTACGTTCTTCCATTAGATAGTCTGCATCTTCAAACTGAGTGTTTTCTGCTTGATAATAGAAAATCTTTGTGATGATCTAAGCTATCCCATCACCATGGAGATAAAAATGCTCCCACATAAGAGCCTCATGATACTGGATATTTGGCAATGATTTCCTGAAAATGACACCAAAGGCATAGGCAACAAAAGAAAATAAGTTGGACTTTATCAAAATTAAAAAGTACAACAAATGACACTATCAACAATGTCAAAGGCAACCCAAAGAATGGGAGAAAATATTTGCAGATCAGTTACCAAGTGAGGGATTTATACCTAAAACATATAGAGAACTTCTCAAACTTACCAACAAAAAAATCAAATAATCTAATCACAAAGTGGGCAAAGGACATGAATAGACATTTCTCCAAATTAGATATACAAATAACCAAGGAGCATACAAAATGATACTGTACACCACTCATTAGGGAAGAGGCATATCAAAACCACAAGATACCACTTCACATCTGTTAGAATGGCTATTTTAAAAAAGTAAAGAAAGGAGAGTGGAGGCAGGAGAGGAAGAGAGAAAGAAAGGAAGAAAGAAAACAAGTGTCATCTAGAATATGGAGAAATTGGAACACTTGGCATTACAGGTAGGATTTAAAATGGTGCAGCCACTATATGTAGATATATATTCTATTTTGAATTTTCATGGTTTCCTCTGTCTCTAAATAATGTGCTTATACTATTGTTATTGCTTTATCTAATAACCTGAGTCTTTATTTATTGACTAATTACTATGATCATAAAGATGGAGGCTTATTAAATATGAATTTTTTAAACCTTAATTATTTTTTAAGAAGTAAAATAATTTAACTCTTTATAGGGTTTTTATGTACATCACAAACTAGTAGACAGAATTTCCTCCAAGAGACTAGAGAATAACAACAACTCTATAATAAGCTTCTCTTGAATCTTAATCCAGCTATGAGCCTACTTTGTAGTTAAGCCCTACAAAGACTTCCCAAGACATGTAAATCACTGCTCTTTTGGGAAGGGCATTTTATCATTTAAAGCTGAGGTCACAAGCAGGAAGCTCATAGTTTACACTCAGTTAGTAGACATTGTATGGCTTACATGATATTTAAGAGAATTGGAGCCAACATACGAAAAATGATAGATTTCTTCATTGTCAAAACAAAACAATAAATCAGAAGATCTGGCAATATGGGTACGTATTCTTGTGGGGCAACAACTGCTCCTGTCAGACAGAGCATGTCTCACATACAATTGGTGATGATCAAGCTCACATCACTAATATTTGTTTATCTGAATGGTCTCAGTAGGCATCTGAATTACCAGTGCTAACCTAGAAGGTGAAGATCTGAGTTTTCTTATTACCTGTATGGTTTCAAGAACAAGAGTCATTGACTGGACTGGGCCAAAGTTCTTAAACAGCCTCTTCAAGAGCCCTGAGGTTGTAATTTTTGCTAAATGGCCCAACATGGACAGTTGACATCTCCGCCCACTTGATCCTCATCTATAAGAAAAACAGTAGAATACAGTGAGGATGTGGATGTGGGAAGAGAATTAAGTCAAATCTAAAGAAATCATGAGTCAAAACATGGGAAAATTCTACTTCAAGGAATTTCTCAATACAAACACCTGCTGAACATACAAGGACTTGTATACAGGGATTTCATTGCAGCATTATTTGGATAACAAAATTCATAAAGCACAAATACTGAAAATCACAAGTATATGCTACAACAGCATATGACAGCCATTAAAAACAAGGGAAGTAAGATTAGGTAGTGATATGACAAGATACAATGCTAAATGAAAAAATAAAGATGCAAAACTATACATAGTGTGATTCCTATTTTTATAACAATGTATTTTCTAAAATATTAATAAAAACAAACAATTTGGAGAAATAATACAGCAAACAATAATGTATTATGTCCTTAATGGGGAAGATAATAAGTTTATTAAATAAATCATGTCAGAAAATCCATTTATTTACCCTTTTCTTCATCTCCTCAGTGAGGGTGGGTGAAGAGAGTCCAAAAGAGAACTAGACAATGCTGAAGGGAAATGGGAATTTTCACTCAGGCCTTGTCAAGAACCTGCAGAGAACAGCACAGCCTGGATAAGTGAACCTGGAAGTGAGCCACAATAATATAAACAATGGTTGTCTTTTTACTCAATTAAAAATCAATACAAGGCTGACTTCATGGTTTGGAAGAAAACAGTGACATCACACAGCCTCACAGAAAAACCATGTATCAGTTAAAGAGAGTTAAAAAAAAAACCATATAACCCATACTTTTGGCATTACTAAGAGACTACTACAATCTTCAAATTACCTCTAAGTAAAGAAATACGTTAAATTACAAAAGAGCTCCCTCCATCTCACATTGTTGCAAGCCTGTGAGTAAACAGAACAGAGAGAGGAGGCTTAAGGATTCTGGGGGAAAAAACCAAGGGGCATGGAAGACTTAGATGAAGCAGAAATAAAATCATCCCCAGAAGGAAAAAATACAACTAAATGCCAAAATAATAAACACAGGTAGTGACTTTGAGAGTTCACAGCACTTGACTATAGGGAAGAGGCTTGGTAAGCTCAGAGAAGCAGTGTTTCTGGGAAAGAACCATATCTATAAAGAAGAGGTTAATACCCTCTTAGAGATATTCCAATGAAGGGAAAGAAGGAAATGGATGTTGGGGGGAAAAATTAAGGATCCTGCAGAAAGATAAATAAGAAACACCGATTTCTTCCCACAACAGCATTCTTAAAAGAATACTGGAAGAAAAAAAGTTAAATCAACAAGATGGAAATACAAGGAAACTTCAGACCCCCACTGTCCCAAAGATACCAATTAACAACATACAGACCAGAATACCTTTGTGAGAACTCTGGGGACCAACTGAAAAGCTACACACCCAGACATACATAAAACCAAGAAGAGATTCCTTCAAAAGGGTAAGAAAATTTGTGGCGTTTTCCCATATAAGCTTGAAGAGACTACATTCTTCCATTGGATAGTCTGCATCTTCAAACTGAGTGTTTTCTGCTTGATAATAGAAAACCTTTGTAATGATCTAAGACATCCTATCACCATGGAGATAAAAATGCTCCCACAGAAGAGCCTCATGATACTGGATTTGGCAGTGATTTCCTGGAAATGATACCAAAGGCACAGGCAACAAAAGAAAATAAGTTGGACTTTATCAAAATTAAAAAGTACAACAAATGACACTATCAACAATGTCAAAGGCAACCCAGAAAATGGGAGAAAATATTTGCAAATCAGTTACCAAGTGAGGGATTTATACCTAAAACATATAGAGGTAGGATTTTAAATGGTGCAGCTCAATGCCCATCTGAGCTAGTGCAGGACAATCCAGAGGAAACCTCCCACACTGGGGATACTCTTATGTTTTGGGACAGAAACAGAAGAGTGGATCTAATGTCCAACAATTTGGCTTGCCTGGAGGATGTTCAAGGGACTAGTCTCTGTCTTGCCTGACTCAGAGCACTGATGGTACTGGCAGCATTGTTTGGGAAACCGAAAAGGAGTGACATCAGCAAGATGGTGGACTAGGAAGCTTCATGCCCTCATTTTCCTAGAGACATCAAGTTAACAACAATATACAGACCAGGATACCTTTGTAGAAACTCTTGACCAGCTGAGAAGCTACCATATCCACACCAACAAAAAACAATCAGGAGTTCCAGCAAAAGGGAAAGGAAGTGTTTTAAATGCCCACCTATGTCCTTCCCCTATCCTGGTAGGACTCAACAGGGAGGATCTGCCCTCTAGACAGAAACCAACTGCATCCATTGTTATGGCTAGTCTGGGGGCTGCCTAAGGAACTAGTTTCTGTCTTGCCTGATTCAGAGCATTGACAGGACTGGCAGCCTTGTTTGGAAGCCACTGAAAACAGATATAATCACCACGGCACATTAAAGCTACAGTTCCTTAGGCAGATGCCAGGGGAGCAATAGATTACAAGCTCTGAGAAGAAACAAGGACAAGCGCTTAGGGAATCTGCGACAACTAAAACACATGCACAAACTCAGAGAAGACACATCCTCAAAATAGGTTTGGGAGCTCTTGAAACGTTTAGCTACACTGATCAGTGAAAGTCTTCCTCTTCCATAATGCCATTCATTTTTCAAATTATTAGGCTTCAAAAAAATATCACAAGGCAACACAAAGAAAGAAGGGAAAATGATCCAGTCAAAGAAACAAAATAAAATTCCAGAAACCAATCTAAAGAAACACAGAATGAGCTAGAAGAGAACAAGACAACTAACAAAATCAGGAAAATGATGCATGAACAAAATGAGAATATCAGCAAAGAGACAGCAATATAAAAAAGAACCAAACAAATTCTGGAGCTGAAAAATACAGTAAGTGAATTTGAAAAGAAAGAGGTTCAATGTCAGACTTGATTAAGCAAAAGAAAATCAGCAAACTTGTAGATTATTTGAAATTATTGAGTCAAAGTAAAAGAAAAAGAATGAAGAAAAGTGAATAGAGTCTAAGAGGCTTATGGGACACTATCAAAAGGACCAATATTCATAATATGGGGGTCCCAGAAGAAAATAGAAAGGGGCAGAGATATGTTATTTGAAGAAATAATAGCTAGAAGCTTCCCATATCTGAGGAAAGAAATGGACATCCAAATTCAAGATGCCCCAACCAGGATAAATCCAAGGAGACCCACACAAACTATCAAAGTCAAAGAGAGACTCCTAAGAGCAGCAGGAGAACAGTAACTCCATCACATACAAGGGAGTGTCCATAGATTATCTGTGGATTTCTCAGCAGAATTCTTGCAGGCCAGAAGAGGAAGGCATGATATAGTGAAAGTGCTAAGAGAAAAAAAATCTATCAACCAAGAATACTGTATCCAGCAAAACCATGCTTCAAAATGAAGGAGAAATGAAGACTTTCCCAGAAAACAAAAAGCTAAGGGAGTTCATTACTACTAGACCTGCTCTGCAAGAATGCTGAAGGGAACCCTTTAAGATGAAAGGATACTAGACAGCAACATGAAGCCACCTGTATTATGTAATTTTGGTGCATAAAGTCACTTTTAATTTTGATTCAGAATTCAAATGACAAAAACATGAAAAAAATATACCAATGTTAATAGGTATACAATCCATAAAGATGTTAAGTTATGACATTAATAAAGTCAGGGGAGTGGAGCTTACAGAAGTAGAGTTTTTGTATGCAAATGAAGGTAAATTATCACTTTAAAATAGAAGGTTATAACTAGATGTTTTATGTAATTATAATGATAAATGCAATGAAAATATCCATAGAATATACAAAAAGAAAATGAGATGAGATATCAAAGCATGTCACTACAAAAAAAAAGCAAATGAAGGTAAATTATCACTTTAAAATAGAAGGTTATAACTAGATGTTTTATGTAATTATAATGATAAATGCAATGAAAATATCCATAGAATATACAAAAAGAAAATGAGATGAGATATCAAAGCATGTCACTACAAAAAAAAATCAATGAAACAAAGGAAGACAGTAGAGAGGAAAGGAGGGACAAAAAGCTGTGACATACAGGAAACAACAAAATGGCAATAATAAGTCCTTCTAATTTGGTAATTAGCTTAAATAGCAAAATATTAGCAAACTGAATTCAACAGCACATTAACAGTATTATACACCATGATTAAATGGATTTAGTCCTAGAACACAAGGATGGTTCAGTGTACGAAAATCACCCATGTAATATACCACATCAGAATGAAGGACAAAAACCACATGATTATCTGAATTGATGCAGAAAAAGCATTTGAAAAGATTCAACACTCTTGATAAAAACACTCAACAAACTAGGAACAGAAGGAAAGTATTTCAACATAGTAAAGGTCATATATGAAATGCCCACAGCTAATATCCTACGCAAAGGTGAAAGACTGAAAGCTTTCTCTAAGATTAGGAACAAGGATGCCTGCTCTTACCACACCTCTATTCAACAGTGTTGTGGACAGGATGGGGGTGGGGGCAGTCCTAGCCAGGGCAATTAGGCAAGAAAAGAAATAAAAGGTATCCAAATGGATAAGAAGAGGTAAAATTACCACTGTTCATATATAACATGTAGGAAACTCTAGACTACACAGCAACACTGTTAGAACTAATAAATGAATTTATCAAAGCAGAAGGATACAAAGTCACACAAAAATCACTTGTTTTTATGTACTAACAAAGAACAATCAGAAAAGGAAATTTAGAAAAAAAACCTCATTTACAATAACATCAAAAAAGAATAAAGTTCTTAGGAATAACCTAAACAAGGAGGTGAAACACTTGTACACTAAAAACTACAGAACACTGCTGAAAGAAATTAAAGAAGAAACAAGTAAATGGAAAACTTTTCCATGCTCATGGATTGGAACACAGTATTGTTAAGATGTCAACAGTACCCGAGGGGACTGACAGATTCAGTGCAGTGCCTATAAAAATCCTAGTGTTATTTTTTGAAGAAATAGAAAAAAAAATCCTGACATTTGTATGGAATCTCAAAGGACTCTGAAAGCCAACATAATCTTGAAAAAGAACAAAGTTCAATGATACAAACTTGCTGATTTTAAAACATATTACAAAGCTACGGCTCTCAAAACAGTGATGTACTGGCATAAAGATAGACATGACCAACAGAACACAATGAAGAAATAGAACTTTGCTTATATGGTAAACAATCTTTGAAAAGAGTGCCATGACTATTCAATGTGAAAGATAGTCTCACCAAAATGGTGCTGGGAAAACTGGATATCCATGTGCAAAAAAGGGAAGTTGGAACCTTATCTTACACCATATACAAAAATTAACTTGAAATGGACTGAAGACCTAAATGTAAGATCCCAAACTTTAAAACTCCTGGAACATAACATAAGGGAAAAACTTCATAACATTGAATTTGGCAATGATTTCTTGTATATGACATCAAAAGCACAAAGAATGCAAAAAAAGAAAAATGGGACTGTATCAAATTTAACATCTTTCACTTATCAAGACAATTAGCAGAATGAAAAGGCAATTTATGGATGAGAGAAAATATTGCAAATCATGTATCTGATAAGGAATTAAGATTCAGAGTATATAAGTCATCTCTAAAGCTAACAAAACAACCCAATTAAAAAATGCGCAAAGTACCTGAACAGACATTTCTTAAAAAATTATAGTTGATCCTTCAACACAGGGATTGGGAGCACCAGTTCCCTATCCCCACCCCATGAAGTCAAAAATCTATAAATGATTTTTGACTCCCCAAAACTTAACTAATAGCCTGCTGTTTACTGGAAGTCTTACTGATAATATAAACAGTTGATTAACACAAACTTAATGTGTATTACATACCATATTCTTACAATAAAGTAAACTAGAAAAAAGAAAATGTTTTTTCAAATTGTTGCAAATTTCCAAAAAATTTTCCTATGTATTTATTGAAAAAAATCTACATGTAAGTGGATCTGTGTAATTCAAACCCATCTTGTTCAAGGGTCAACTGTATACACAAAAGACCAATAAACCTAAGGAAAAAAAATGTTCAACTCACTGTCAGAGAAATGCAAATCAAAATCACAACGAGTATCACCTCACACCATTTAGGATGGCTACTATAAAAATAAAGAATAAGTGTTGGCAGCAATGAATAACAGTTGGAACCTTTGTGCACTGTTGACAGGATGTAAAAATGGTTCAACTGCTATGGTGAACACTGGCAGTTCATCAAAAAATTAAAATCTCAAAATAATTGTTTAAGATAACATTGTAGGTTATATAACATGCATAATTAAAGTGTATGATGCAAATATATAGTTGAAAAGTTCTTCTATGTGAAGTGTTGTATTATCACTTAAAGGTAAACTGTGGTAAGTTAAAGATGTGTAACTCCTAAAGCAACCACTAAAATAACACAACAAAGAATCGTACCTAACCCACTGCCAAAGGAGATGAAATAAGATCATAAAACATACTAATTCAGAAGAAAAAAAGGAAATAGGAAAATAAAGATTAGATGGGACAAAGAGACAACAAATAGTAAGATGATAGATTTAAACCTAACAATATCAATAATCATATTACCTTATAATAGTCTAAATATAAATACTCCACTTAAAAGGCAAATACTGTCAGATTGGATACAAAAGCAAAACCTAACTGCTAACTACAAGAAACCTACTTTAAATATAAAGATACAAATAGGTTCAATGTAAAATAAAAAATAATATTAATGATATTTATAATGATATTAATGGTATTAATATCATACCATTAATATCAAAGTAGAACTCCGAATAGAGAAAGTTTCCAGGGATAAAGAAGGCCTGCCTGTTTGTAATGATAAAGGGGCCAAATCAGGAGGACATAATGCATAATGTTTATGTTAATAGCAAAGCTTCATGATACATAAAGCAAAAATAGAACTCCCAGAAGAAATAGAAATCTGTAATTATAGTTGGAGATTCCACCTCAATACATATAAAAGGATTCAAGTAATTCAAATTTTATTCTTGGACAACAGAGAAACCAAATAAGAAATCAGGTAATAGATCTCTGAAAATCCGTATGTATTTGGAAACATAATAACACAATACTAAGTAACCATGACTCAAAGAAGAATCAAAAGGAAAATTAAAAAGTATTCTGAACTCAAAGAAAATGAAAACAACTTATCAATATGTGTAAAATGAATATAAATTAGGACTTAAATAATTGGAATACCTATAGTAAAAAAGAACAGTTTCAAGTCAATGACCTCAGCCAACATTGTTCTGGATGGATTAGCCAAAGCATTTAGAAAAACAATTGGGGGAACATAAGAATTGGGAAAGGAGAAATAAAACTATGCTACATACACACTGGAGTGCAATGCAGCTATAATAAAGAATGAGGAAGATTCTTATAAATTGATATGGTAAGATTTCCAGGATATATTATTAAGGGAAAAAAAGCCACTGCAAAAGTGATTATATAGTATGTTACATTCTGTGCAAGAAAGAGAAATAAGAAAGCATACATATATCTGTCTTTCTTTACAAAAATGGAATAAAGGAAGGATGTCAGAAAACAGATTTATTTATATGAGGTGGGGGGAGGATTGGGTGAAAGAGATATGAGAGGGAATGACACTTTGAGTGCACTTTCTGTAGATCTGCCTATGGAAACATGCTAAGGTTTGATAGACACAAAAAATAAATCAACAAGGATAGAAGAGAGGAAAAAAACTAAAACTGAAGGCACACTGGAACAAATAAATGAACCCAACTGTATTTTAAATGCATAACAGTTAATCTGAAGGGGAGAAATAAAACAATCCAAATAACTTATAAATAAAATGTTAATATACCCAATGCTCAGTTGTGGGTGGAGCTAGGGGGCAGGAGGAGGAGGAACTGCAAACCAAATTCTGGACTCATTCTATAGTGATTTGGGTACATCAATTCTACAACTTCTTTGGATACAGTTTAGGTTTGAGTGAATGAGTAAAGGTTGATGTTGTGGGAGCCAGTGTTTCCATGGTGGATAAAGAGATAGAAATATGAAATGAAGAAAAGCAAGGAAGAACCCTGTATGAAGGGCTGAAATTAGAGGTACTGGTATGGACACATGATTTCTAAAATATGTACATATATATTTATATGTATGTATGTATATCTACATGCATATATTTCCTAACTCTGTGTGCTTTAAATCTTGAAGGAAAGACACCCCAGTACCAATATGCACACTTGACACCCAGAATTTGGATTCTAACACCAAGATGAACCTCAATAACTGATTGTGCCAGGAAGGAAGAAAATGATCAAAAAAATTATAGGTGCATGTCACAAGGACTGAGGAGCCAGCTCAAAGGGGCTAATACTCGCCAAATCTGGGAAATTTGAAAACCAAAACAACTTGGTACAATTATAAATCATTGAAATAAATAGGACTCCATGAGTCCAGCCTGACTGACTGCATGAATGAATAATAAGTTAAAAAAGAAGGTAAAGGGAGGACTCTTGCTTATAGAACACTGAATAACAACTAGTATATAGGGAGGAAGTGCTAGAGTTGGAAAACCATCATTGTGCAAAACCATCATAGTAAAGACTGGTTCAGGTAAAAATCATTTTTACTAAATATAAGGGAGGGAATTTTTGTTTTTTCACTAGATCAATTTTATAATTCATGATGGGGCTCACAGATGGAGGTTTTACAAACATAGTAACACTACTGGATCAGTTGGTACTTTATGTATTATGGAATACCAAGCAAGCTAATACTTAAGACCTAAGTGTGCATATATGTATTATGTATGTACATACATCAGCATGTGAATGTAATACATTTTTTTTGGTATCATTAATATAAAATCACATGAGCAACATTGTGGTTACCAGATTCCCCCCATTATCAAATCCCCACCACATACCCCATTACAGTCACTGTCCAGCAGCGTAGTAAGATACTATAGAGTCACTACTTGTCTTCTCTGTGCTATACTGCGTTCCTTGTGCCCCCCTCTATGTTATGTATCCTAATAGTAATGCCCCTTATTCCCTTTATCCCTCCCTTCTCACCCACCCTCCCCACTCCCTTTCCCTTTGGTAACTGTAACTCTATTCTTGGATTTTGTGAGTCTGCTGCTGTTTTGTTCTTCAGTTTTTGTTTTGTTCTTATGCTCCAAAGATGAATGAAAGGGAGGGAATTTTAATAAAAAGAATATTTGCTTAAAGTATCACTTCATGTATTACTTTTTAGAAAAAACTGTAGCTCTTCAGCAGAGAAAGAAGAACATGTTAATGTCATCAAAGTAAACACACAAAAGGGGACAGATAGATGGATGAATGTTACACACTGAGGAGGACACAAACTTACGTGTACTCTAAGAATGTATAACCTCAATGTAACCATGCAGAAGCACCACAGAAACCCACATGAGGAACATTCTCGCCCTTTCCCCCAATCTGGGCAATACATCAGGGCTACTTAAAAACTACCAATTGGTAGTTCACTCAAAAACTACCAATGTCACTAAAGACAAAGAAAGGTTGAGCAGTGATTTCAGATTAATGGAAACTAAAAAGATACTTCAACTAAATGAATACAACCCTAGTGTGAATACTGTTCTGAAGGGAAAAGAAATGCTAAAGGACATTATTGGGTCAACTAAGAAAATTGGAATGTAGACAAAAATTGGATAAAGGTACTGTATCAATATTAAATTTACTTAAGTTTACTGTGGTTATATGAGAGTATTTTCTTAGGAAATACACACTGAAATAGCAAGCAGTAAAGGGCCATGATATTCATAGCTTACTGTCAAATGGTTTAGAAAATAAAATGTCACATAGAGGGGAGAGACAGCAAGAAAGAGTGAGTGAGCATGAGCATGCCAGCACACACACAAATAATAAAGCAAATGGAGCAGAGTGTTAACAGAAGATGAATCTTTACAGAAGATATATAGGTCTTCCACCATTCATGTGAATTTTCTGTAAGTCTGAAATTATTTCCAAATAAAGTACTTAAAATATAGATCTTCTGAACACGATGATGTAAGTTCACACTTTGATGCATACATTCTACTTTACACATACAGCAATGATAGATAAAATATAAAAAGAGAAAACCAAAAAGATACAGTTGGGCTAAAAACCAAGATAAATATCTCCTTGAGCCAGAAACAGAACAGAAATTCAAAGTGCTGTATAAGGCCAAAGTCACAGGTCTACTGGGCTCTGAAAGTGGACCCTGGCAGCTGACAGTTCTGCTCCTCTGTGGTAATGAACAAAAAGTGTCACATACAAGATGAGAGACAGAAGCCAGATTTGCTAATGGTAGCCAGGGCTGTTGATACTTGCATGGGTTGCAGACGCTACATTCCCCTCTGCTCTGAATACAAACTTTAAAGAGATAGTAAGTCACTTACCTCTTTATTTGAAAGGCACTTAATAGTTTGACAGTTTCTGGAAGAAGAAAGTTCACTAGCATCTGCCTCCCAGGTCAAGAAAAGGAGATTCTGACCCTTGAGTCTAAGCACTCTAAAACACTGTGAAGAAGTAGGAGAGATCAAAGTAAGAATAACAGTTTTCCCTAACCAAGAGTTGTTTCTCTATACTTGCATCATCTGATATGGTAGTTACCAGCAACATGTGGCTATTTAAATTAAAATGAAGTTCCTTGGTTGCATTAGTCACTTGCACTAAACTATGTGCTCCTTACAGGATAGCACAGATATAGAACATTTCCACCACTGTAGAAATCATAGGGGACAGTGTTGCTCTATATTAAGGAGAGGAAGGATAAACAAGAAATATACTCAAAGCTCTCTATCAAAGTTCAGGCCAGATTCTAATGGTCTGATACATTTATTATAGTGTGGAGACCAACCCCTTTTGAGCCTATTTTTTGATACCCCCACAATCCCCATGCCAACTTGGGCAATGTATCAAGGCTATAGGTGACTATTCTAATCAAAATACTCACTAGCATATTATATCCCCTAATGCAACTTAGTTCAATATATTTCAGTATCTCACTTTCTTGTAAAGGAAGTCATTTTAAGACCAGTCATTGGATTCAGAAATTAGAAAAATAAGTAGATACATTCAGAGTAGAAGATGGTATTTTTCCCTTCATGGTTTTTGTGATGGAAGAACTCATACTATTGGTAAACACTTCTCAGTAGACTCAAAAGAGGGGAAAAAAAATCTCCCAGATACTGTTAAATAAGAAACCAAGTATGCCACTTGTCTTTGCTCTTGTTTAGAACTGAAAAATACTACCTTGTGTTTGGTTACAAAACTGATTCTGCTGTATTTCTTGGCTCTGGGCCTGCTGCTTGAAGTTCCTGGTGACTAGCTAGTGCCTCCAGATTCAATTTGGCAATCTTGAAGAAAATAAAGTGGTAAAAATAATCTAATTTCTTGCAAAGCATTGAAGTTAAAAAAACGCAACCCAGAAAAAAATCCAATAAAAACCAACTCAAGTGGTGTTGTCTGCTTCCATAGACAGTGGCTTTGCCATTCCCATTGTCCAGGCTGGCTTCAATAGTTACCAGATGGTTTCTGGCTGCTTCACCAAAAATGGCAATCTGTTACCAGCTGCTGATGTTGCTACATGAGTATGGGAAAGGGCCAAGTAGGGCTAAGTGAAAAGGGATGGCAATTTGGTTCATGATTCATTCCACAGTCAGTGTCCTAAATTTACTTCTCTGAAAACATGGAACTTTTGGTAATGATAAAGTAATGGCTTTTTTTTTATCAATATCAAATACTTTTTCTTCGATTAATACAAAACCATGACAAGTCTATTCTGGTTTATTCTTCTTCCATAAAGTGGGAGACCACTTGGGAACTGTGATGTACAAAGGGAGATTCAAACTTTTTATTTAGATTTTAGATTTATAGGAAAATTATAAAGATAGTACAGAATTCTCATACTCTCTACCGCTATTTTTAGCTATTATTAATATCTTTGATTAGCATGGTGCATTTGACACAACTAATGAACCACTATAGATACTATTAATTAAAGTCTATGCTTAATTCAGGTTTTCCTAGTTTTTACCCAAGTAAGATACAATTTTCCCTGGATATCAAGTGGCAGCAAAATAGAATGCAGTGTTTCTCAAAGTGTGGTTGGAGAACTTCTGGGGGTTCCAGAGACCATTTCAGGAGAAGTTCATGAGGTCTTCCCTTCTCCAACTATGTAATATAACTTTAATATAAAAGTAGATATGAGAAAGTCACTTGTCTCCTATTAAGCTAGACACTTGAGATTTGCAAAATATGTAAAACAATGATACTTTTCCTACTAATTGTTTTTGAAAAATGTTCTTCCATAAAAATAAATTTTTTTGGTGTTTTAATCTAATTTTTTTGAGTATTTTAAACAATAATTATGAAGATTATTTTTCTCATATTTAATTTCTAATATGGCATATGACCCACATAAACAATAGCTCTTTGACTGTAAGTGGGTTCTGAGACCAAAAGTTTTTTGGATCTTTGATGTAGTGGTTCGTATACAGCAAAAGCTGACATATTCCCTTGCTGGGGCAAGTCCAGCCCAATGATGATTTTTTTATAAATAAAGTTTTATTGGAACACAGCTATGCCCATTCATAGACATAGTACTATGCAGAGATCACAGGAAGATGGTGGCGTGAGTAGTTCAGAGGAAATCTCCTCCCCAAAATATATATATTCATGAAAATACAATAAATACAACTATTCCTAAAATAGACACCAGTGGATGCAGTACAACAGCCAGGATACATCTACGTCTGTGAGAACTCAACATCACACTAAGGGGGTAAGATAAAAGCCACGGCCAGGGGGACCCGAATGCTCCCCCCACCCCAGAACCCAGCGGGAAGAAAGGAGTCGGAACAGGGAGGGAGTGAAAGCCCAGGACTGCTAAACAACCAGCTCTAGAAATCCACACCCGGAGCACAGACAGAAGGTGCATGGGGTGCTAGATATTAGAGAAACGGAAAAGCAAAACCTGTGGGCAGGTCCCCGCAACCGGCGCCCCTGAGACAAAATAAAAGTGAGTGCTTTCTGCAAGTCTTAAAGAGACAGGGACCCCACAGCTGGACGAAGTCGTCCCGGCACACTTAGGCAGCAGCTGGGAATCCCAGGGAACCTTAGGTGCCCTAAACCCTGGGGAGGCAGCGCAGCTCTAAAGCCCCTCACGGCACTAAGCAGCCTGCCACTCATTCCTCCAACTGGTGAGGACCCGGACACACCGGCCCAGTAGTGGGAGAGTGGCAGCGCATGCCAGGAATGGCAGCGCTGGAAGGGACCGGGACCAGATCACGTGCACCAACGGTGCCAGAGGGGACCAGGAGAGGCTTGTGTGAGCCTGCAGCGGCGGCAACTGAACAGCCCGGGTGCGGCTCGTGCGCACTGGTGGCAGTGGAGCCAGAGGAGCCCGGTAGAGGCCCGCATGGGAGAGTCCTGAGAACACCTGCAGCAGAGCCAGAAGGAGTAGGCGTGCTCTCAGCAGCCGACCAGAATTCCAGCCCAATGCACAGCCGCCTGGGTCAGACCCAAAGGCTGCTGCTGGTACATACATAGCTGCCCAGTCGGGGCGCCGCTATCACGAAGGAGCGTACCTGGTATGCCTGCCACTCCCCGCAGGGCTCCACGCTGCTCTGATGGAGACCCTGCCCACAGCAGTTTAGGGGACTAACCTGGTGTCTGCTCCAGGAGTGCAGGTAACTGACACAGGCAGCAGAGAAGGGAAAGGCATCCAGAAAGCAGGAAAGGACTTTCTTTTCCCAGCTGACACACCCGCAACCTGCCTACAGCCACCACTATCACCATGAAAAGGCAAAAAAATTTAGTCCAGTCCAAGATAGTTCAGACAACACCTGAGAGAGGATCTGCAGAGACAGACCTAACCAGTCTCCCTGAAAAAGAATTCAAAATAAAAATCATAAACATGCTGACAGAGCTGCAGAGAAATATGCAAGAGCTAAGGGATGAAGTCTGGAGGGAGATTACAGATGTCCAGAGGGAGATTACAGAAGTGAAACAAACTCTGGAAGGATTTATAAGCAGAATGGATAAGATGCAACAGGCCATTGATGGAATAGAAACCAGAGAACAGGAACATATAGAAGTTGACACAGAGATAAAAGGATCTCCAGGAATGAAACTATGTTAAGAGAAATGTGTGACCAATCCAAAAGGAACAATATCCGCATTATAGGGGTACCAGAGGAAGAAGAGAGAGAAAAAGGGATAGAAAGTGTCTTTGAAGAAATAATTGCTGAGAACTTCCCCAAACTGGGGGAGGAAATAGTTGCTCAGACTACGGAGGCACACAGAACTCCCGAGAGATGGAACCCAAAGAGGACAACACCAAGACACACAATAATTAAAATGGCAAAGATCAAGGACAAGGACAGAGTATTAAA